ATTGTTATTTTAAACATACAGTTAAACACTCTATAGAGCCAAATTTATTTTATCCAGATCATACTGTATATAGTTTAAACCATTTGACAAGTTAAAAACTTGTCTTAACTTATCAAATGGTTTAAAAGGCTTTAATTTGTTTAAATTGTCTCTTATTGTTGTATATTGTTTAAATTTGTTAAACTGATATTATGGGGTGCCACGCTGAGTTTGGTGGGATAGAAATATTATAATAGTAAAATAAATAAATGACTCATGATGGTAAGTGTCAATCATGGCAACAAGGGAATGGTTTGTGTGTATCTCTCAGTTGTTTCATGCAAATAGTGCTTTCACATAGTTGATGCCAAGGTATAAACCTTCCAGAGCTCAGCTTCATCTTCTCCCCAAAACAACCCTGACTCAGCTTCATCTTCTCCCCAAAACAACCCGCCTGACTAATTTGCAGTGGTACTAGTTGGTGGTAGTGTCCCACATTTACATTTGGTCGCATTCTGTGGATTTTACAAAGTTAGAAATATCAAGGCGTCTGTGTGCCTAATTATAATCTATGTTCGTGTGAAGTTTTTCTAAGGGCAGAAACTAGAGGTGAAATAATAAATGCATCTTTGTGTTTAAATTGCAGTTTTGAAAAAATGGAAATAACATTAGGTGGGGTGGATAGGCTGATCATTATAAGTATCATGGCAGGCGGGGATGAAGACTTTAAACTTCTCTTCATCTGCTGTGATGCTAAGGAAAATCTCTCCTCTGAAAATCTGCATTAGTAACAGTTTTCCTTTTCAGGAGAGAGATTTTCCGCTATATTGCGCCAGGGAAAGAGAGGGTTAGACTCTTGAAAGAGATGATTGATGCTCTCCCCTCAATTGACACTGTTACATGTAGTTGGAAAAATCTAAAAGTACAAAGAAAAAAAATAGAAGTAAAAAACGTTAAATGCAAAAATGTAATCTGTCGCCTGATAAGAACCTGCTGCATACCCCCCACACACACATTTCATAGATAAAGACAGGGACATAGGTGGACAAGCAACATCAATATGGTCAAGATAGCAAAAATTATTAATTAGGAAGAACACATACCGTAATCTAGGGAGAGGCTGCAGCAGTTTACTTTTGCTTAACTCTACTGGAAATGACAAGAGACTCCCCTCCTCCTCCATACCTTCCAACTGTCCCAATTTGGCAGGGACAGTCTTGTTAATTCTCTGTCATCCCAATTTTTCAACTGATTTTCAAATGTCCTGGTTTCTCTCATCTTTTATCACTTTCCCCCTTTGTCCTCAGCTTACTTCAATTGCTGCAGTTAAGTTAAAAGTACAAAGTAGTTTGCACTGATTTAACTCAGCAAGGGAAATAGGAGAGAAGGGGGCAGAATCTTAACCTTCCCAGTTGACTCAAGCAAAAGCAAACTGCTGCAGCGTCTCCTAGCTTGTGTGTCCTGTTTCTAATAACTCTTGCCATGTTGACCACACTCTGAATGTTGTTTGGCCTCACATGTCCTAGTTTTCTTTGACTGTGAACTACCTCTGCACTTTCAGCTCCATTTTCAGCAATTGAAGAAAGGTGAGAAAGTAGAAAATGGGAGGAATAAAGGGAATAGAAGGAAACTAGGACATTTTAAATGCAGATGCAAAAAATGAAACAACAGACAATTAATTAGGACTGTCTCTGCCAAATCAGGACAGTTGAAAGGTATGTTCCTGGAAAGGTGATTCCTCTGTGTCGAATGTTTATTTTAGAGGATCAACAGTAAATACTCTACATTCAGATAACTACCTAGCTCTGCATCTGCACTGTTGCATTATGATATGTGACAGAGTGAGAAGTGAGATGCACAACATAATTGTTCAGTACTAGAAAAGTATATATCTGCCAAGTAAATTTGCTTTTATAGGCTCAGAATCTGTAATGGGTAGTTTGAGCTAGAAATATGTGACTTTAAATAATTTCTTTTTGCAAGGAGATACCTGTAAATGACATTGAAGTCCATGGGAGCCTTTTATTAGGAAGAGTGAAGCAGTTGTTTCAGGCAATTGGCTGGGGAGTAATGAAATGATAGAAAGTTGTAAGTTATTTAATTTATTGTTGTTCTATTTTATTACCAAGGAAGCAAAGAGGTGCTTGTGGAATTTTCTGCCTCAGCTGCCATTCAGCTCAACCAGCCTTTGGTACTGTATAGATTGTCTGGGGGATATGTGGGATGGATGGAAAAGATGTGACTTGCTGCTCAGGCAGCAAAATGTCTTAGGCCAGTTGCATGTAGACCTTTTAAAGGGCTTAAAATGTAACTGAAAATCACTGTGGCATAGACGCAGTTGGCTTTTTGAGACATGGTTGGTATTACTACCACTTCCTCGACCACCATATCCTAAGAGAAGAAAAGTCAGTGGGGTTTTACTTCATCCTGTGGCAGCTGCCATGAACAGAAGTTATACATTATTTAAACCACCACAATCAAACATTGCACCCAGTCAGGCATTACTTGTCAAAATGGAAAGTAATGCAACAAAAACTAGCGATGTTCCTGTAGCAAGTACTTTAGTACGCAAAGACAATAATTATAAATATCTCATGATAAAATATGTTTGCAGGACCTGGAAATACAACTGAAGGAGGCACAGCAAGAAGCTATGGAATACAAAAATATTAGGAAAACTTTAGAGGAAGAACTTGTTACTGCCAAAGAGAGACTTCTGTTGCAAGAAAATGAGATACTGAATAAAACAGGTAAAAACTTAGTCATCTGTAAATTTCTTGGAAGCTTAAGTAATATAGCATCAAAGCTTGTGAGGCAAAAATCTCCACCTGAAGTCTGTCTTCCATTATGAACTCAATAAATAGATTATTTGTTTATTTATTTAGGAGTTTCAATACCATCTTTCTGAATCCAACAAGGTGCTATACAGACAACTAAAATAAAAAGTAGAACATAATAGTCAAGTAAAACATAGCAAAACAGTAAAGGCAACACTATATAGGATCATAATTTTAAATGTATAGTGAGATATTTAAAAAAACAAAACACATCATAACAGAGAGTTTGTTACTGACAAGGGAGAAAGCCCTTTCCTGTCTACCCAAAAAGCAGCTCCTGGCAAGTGGTGATCTCTTCAAAATGGCCTCTCTTGTTGACCTTAGTAACCAAATAGGTTCAGACAGCAAGATTCTAGCTATTAAAAGTTCTAGTGGTTAAAGCCAACACATTCACCTGAACTCTGAGAACAATTAGAAACCAATGCTGCTGTTTTTTTAGTATCATGGTGATGCAATCACAGTACCATACAGTGATTAGCAGTAGGGTTGCCCATTTAAGATTGACCCAGGCCCTGAGACCTAGGGACAGCTCCCAGTTATGTAGTTAAATGTTATACATTAAGTATCTATCACAGTTGCTTACAGCTTGGGATCCTTTCTCTCTCTCTCTCTTACTCACACACTCCATATTTTCTTGTTTGGAAATTAAGACAGAGTCTTGGGTAAAAGGGCTGTTCAGGTGGTATGGGGAAATGAGGGGAAATTGTTCCTTCTCATCTACTTAGGGAGCTGGAATAAGGAACATTTAATCTAGCCTATGCCTAGCCAGAAGGTGGGTGCAGAGTGGAATGGTGCTGAGGATGGGCCCTGGCACTATAATGATGAAATGGAGAAGGAAGCTAATTCATGTTATACTAATCCACATGTTTGATCACCAGATTTGGTGTGTTATGTCATGGGGCCAAAATGAAGAATATAGGGGCTATACAGACCCTTGTGGCAGCGGCGGCGGCTTTTCTGAACTCCATTGGTGCAGCGTGTCTGAATGCTGCACCAAGGGAGAGCCCTGATGCCACCCGCCATGTGGTGGGGTGCACGGCATGACGACGGCATTGGGGTGGAGTCAGGGTGGCTGGCGTGTGGTTACCATGCCCTGACCCCACCCCCAGACCAGCCCTTTTGGCTGGTCTGTATTCCCCCACAGTAATATTTTGAATCAAATGCATCAACTGCTGTAGCTACTGCAACACACACTTTGGATTTCTGTAATTTTTGCTTTAGAATGCATATTTATGAACCAATGTGTTTCAAATTTACACGAACTGACCTCCTGGTTAGCAAAACAGTTTTTCTTCAAAAAACATTCCAGAAAGTTTCATGGAATTTGGGTCAAAATATATCTTATGGGTTGTAGGTGCTAACAGACACATTTATATTTCATTAAAGTCATAATTAAAATAATCAACAGCAATCTGGGCAAAGCTGGGTAAATTTCCTAGAGGTATATAAATGGAACACATTTGTAATTTTGAACAATTCATCCTGTTATTCATCGCCTGCCTGACAATTCCAACAAATAACATGTACTTATCCATTTCACAGAAATGGAAACTGCACTAAACTCCCACAGCAAAGTCAGAAGTGAAGTCGATGAACTCAAGAAACACATCCTAACCTGTCAACAGAGATTGCCCACAAAACAGAGCCAAGGCAGCGAAGATGGTGGAGATTCTCAGGTGTAAAAGCAATACTTTTTTTTCTCATTTAGTGTACCCAAGATCTTACATGATTATCTGGTGTGATGAAACAAATGACTACCACTCATCTCTTCCATTTCCATATATTTACTGATGCTTAAATGGAGCCAGTTTGCACATTTCCATATATATGGGAAGAAGCTACCAATGTGCTCTCCAGGACTGACATTAGGTAGTGGGGAATGAAGAAGTTATCGTCATGAATATGTCATTGCCATATATTGCTGTTAATGCTATGGTTCCTACTGTCCCATCACACTCCTGATAATGTATATCAATGTAGTTAGGTTGAATTATATGGTTATGTACTAGGGAAGCACCAGCTACACAGTAGTTGTAACCATGTGATCTCTCCTTAGACACATGATTGTAGATTACATGCATTACCAGATTCAGATAAGGGATAGTACTAACTACACAGCTGCTAGTGATACATAGAGAGTTCATCTTTTAGCTTGCTTGGCTACAATGTGTTGTATTGTGTAGAGCCAGTGTGGTGCAGTGGTTTGAGTGTTGGACTACAGCTCTGGAGACCAGGGTTCGAATCCTGGCTTGGCCATGTAAACCCACTGGGTAACCTTGGGCAAGTCACACTCATCTTCAGAGGATAGCAATGGCAAACCCCCTCTGAAAAAAACTTGCCAAGAAAACCCCATTACAGGGTCACCATAAGTCAGAAAGGACTTAAAGGATCACAGCAACAAATGTATGTATGTATGTATGTATGTATGTATGTATGTATGTATGTATGTATATTTTGTTGAACAATTTATTTAAATGGAAAAGCCATTTAACCTGGAAAATAACTTAACTTCATAACTTAAATTTATTGTTGCATTATTGTTTAAGAACTTGAAACACCCTTTTCCTGATTTTCTCAAAGCTTGCCTATAATTAGTTTTTTAGAGTAATGACGGGTTAACACTTTTCTTTTTGTCATTTAATAGGGCAATTGGGAAATTTGTTGTTTTTGTAACAAGTGATGTGCTTGTATCTTTTAGCCTAGGGAATCTACAGCACTGGAAAAGGAAGTTATTAAGCAGCAGCACAAAGAAGATCTTCGCAAAATTAAACAAGAGTCAGATGAGGAGAAGAGTCGTTTAAAAGAGCAATTGGTGAAAGGGCTGGAAGACCTTGTAAAGAAGCATGCTCTTGAAATTAAATCAGTACGAGCCTCCATGGACGTTGAGAGAAAAAAAATGCAGAAGGTGGGTTTTTTTTTTTATTAATAGGTGCTATGATTCATTGGTTCCTTTAAATCTCTTTGCTCATGGTGACATCATTTAAATTATTCCTAGTAGACTGGGAGCATTAAATCACAACAACAATTTTATTTCATTGTTTTTCTTTTTAAAAAATGAGTTGAGTTGATTTTCCCCCTATTAAATAAAAGCTTCTCAGAAAGGAAGGTTAGTGTATCCTTGATGTGCTTCCACATTCTTGGCATTGTTGTTACTTACATATACAGCTCGTGACACCTCTGTGATTAATGCAGTAGCTGCTCCTAAGAATAATGGAAAGAGTAGGTTTTCATAAGTAGGATCTTTGCTTTTCAGAGCTTGAGTGGAATGGATTTAATTCCCTGGTTGGCAACTTTTTTTGTAGTGAGGTCTTACTCTGAACTGAATAGAAGTTGGAAAGATAGGATAGTTGACTGAATGCCTGGATACCATCCCTATACCAGGCACCATGTAAACAGCAATATAAACGAGCAGAATTCATACTTTATGGACTCGTAATTCATTCTCATTACATACCTTAGGGCTAAGCTATGCATTATCTTACTTAAATTTTTGTCTGTGGGTTTTTAACCCCACAGATTGCCAGCGTGCACAACAGACCCAGACAGGGATCCCTGCTGTGAAAGGTTATAAAAGTTTTACCTCTTTGTTGGACAATGACTAGAGTGCACCTGGCGGAAAACTCGACTCTTATCTGACAAAACTCATCATAGGAAATTTCTTTGCTCCTATTGAGAGGCAATATGTGCAGTGCAGAAATCTATATCTATATGCAGCCGCTGGGGGAGAGCATCCGTAGACATGGGGCGGGGTGTTATCAATATACTGATGACACCCAAATATATTTCTCCATGTCTCAGTCAGCAGCCATGACGGCAGATGGCAACTCTCCCCTCAATTAATGTCTTGAAGAGATAGTGGACTGGATGAGGAAAAATTGACTCAAACTGAATCCAGACAAAGTTCTCAAAGTGGGGGCCCCCACACTAGGCATTGGGTCACATCTCCAGTCCTGAACAGGGTCACACTCTCCACTAAGGACTGTGTTCACAGTCTGGGGGTGCTCCTAGACTCGCGGCTTCACATGATAGATCAGGTGAATGTGACAGTCAGGAGCGCCTGTTATCAGCTTCGGCTGTTACGCCAGCTGCACCCTTTCCTGGAAGTGAGGGACCAAGAAACTGTAGTGCATGCACTGGTAACCTCACAACTCAATTTCTGCAATGCACTCTACATGGGGCTACCCTTATACATTTTTCCGAAACTACAATTAGTACAAAATATGGCAGGCAGGTTGATCATCGGAAAATCTAAGAGTGATCATACCACACCTATTTTGAGATCTCTCCACTGACTGCCTATTGGTTTCTGAGCGCAGTATAAGGTGTTGGTAATCACCTTTAAAGCCCTACATGGCTTGGGTCCAGTTTATCTAAGGGATCGCTGCTTCCATATAATCCGCCCTGCGCCCTCAGGTCCTCTGGGAGGAATTTACTGCAACTGATAAAAACTAGATTAGCAGTAACTTCCCAGAGGACGGTTTCTGCCACCGCTCCCAGACTGTGGAACACGTTGCCGGAGTAGATCCATCAAATAACCAGCTTGGACAGCTTTAAAAAAGCCATCAAGATGGATCTCTTCTGGTAGGCCTTCCCTGAATAGACCATTCCACCTAATCTGTGCTCCCTCCTCATTAAATATCCCCCCCACACACACACTCATTGGTGTTCCAGAAAGCTTACTGTTTTAATTTTATGTTTTAATATTAGTATTGTATTTATCTAGTTTTAAAGGGGGGGTTAATTGTTATTATTGTCATGATAGTTTTTGTAGGGTAAGTTTTATTTAAATTCAGTTTTAATTATGTGAGCTGCCTTAATTGCTACGGCAAAAGGCGAGATATAAGAATAAAGTATTATTATTATTAAAGTATTATTTGTTCTCTGTTCTGGTTCCAGTCTGGATTCCACATCCTGCCTCCTTCTTGCACCTGCTATTTGCATTGCCACAAATAACCCATTGGAGCAAGTGACTCTTCTTTGGCAGTCCAAATTGCAGACCTTTGGGGCCAGTCCCCTCCCAACTGCTCTCCCACTATAACACTAAAAGTGTATTTAATTCTCTTTATATCCTCCTCTTCATCAAAATTGCAGGGCAAGTAAGAACAGTATTACACAGCAGCAATAAAATACTGAAAATACAGCAACATATAATAAAACAGTCAGGAGTGAGACAGATTGCAATAGCAATTAACCAGTCATAACTTCTTGGGAACAGATGGGTCTGTTTGGTCTAGTGATGAAATGTCAGCAAGGTTGACACTAGCTATACTTCCTGCAAGAAGGCATTTCAAAGTCAGCATCACTACAGACAAAACCCTGGCAGGTATCAGTCTATTTGTGAGAAACCAGAGATGGAGGGAGGGAGAGAGAGAGAGAGAGAGAGAGAATGCAACATATTGTGTTTCTAATTTAAAAACATCCTGTATACATCATGATTCTGTGTAATTAAACAGTAACCCTATCAACTTGTTCAACTGAGATCACTGCGACAGGTACTGCTTTCAACACCTCTGCATTCAGCAAGTAATGTTGAGAGCTACTGGGAGAAGGCCTTTACTATGGTGGCACCTTATCTGAGGCATTTTTGCTCCACATTTTTTCTCAGGAACCTACTTTAGAGAAATAGTAAGAATCAAACTCTTTGTCTAAACATTTAAAAACATTAGATCTATCTGAATTAAACTTAAGGGACTTTAGTAACTTGTATTATTTTATAATAGGTTGGGGGTTTTTAGGTTTTTTTTTACATTTTTATATTAAGATTTTTCATTTATTGTTTACCATACATAAAAGAAGCAGTCAGATCAGAAGTGAGAGAACTTGCTCAGTTCTTAAAAGTGAGATTGGTTAAAAGGGGCTTTTTTTCTGTGGTATCTGCCCTCTTCTTCCTATTTGCCACTTCCCAGTTCACCAGCAAGTGAAGACATTGTATATGCAAAAGCTTTACCCCACCCACTGATTCTGTGGTTCCTGTGGTATATTTGAGTGTGGTGGGGAGGGTGTTTAGAAATCTTCATCTTAGTTGGTGTGTTTTTAAATTATTTTTAATAGTGAATGGACAGCTGGTGATTTCCATGTCATTGGTACAGTGAATCTGTTTTAGGCAAAAATTTCAAGGAACTCTTCAAGCACCCCACTAGTCACTTCTTTCAAGATGAAGAGCATCCATTAGTGAGTACACTCTGGGTTCAGTCATTCAACCAATTATGAATCTGCCTTAACAGTCCCACCCCACAGTTCATTAGTTTGATTGCAAGAATGTCATAAGAGACCTTGTCAAAAGCCTTACTAAAATCAAGATATACAACAGTTGCCCCTCCATTTTTGTGGACTTCGAGTCAGCGGGCATTAACAAACCAGCAAGCCCCATTGACTAAAATGGTGTGTGTGCCCGCAGCACACGCACAAGACCATGCGCAGGAGCGTGTGGCCATTCAAGTCAAAGGGGCTTGAAAATCTGCAAATTTTTGTTTTCGTGGGATCTACCAAGCATGTAACGCTATCAAAAAGAGGTAAGATTAGTTTGGTATGACTCATTTTTGAGAAACCCATTATGGTTTTTGGTAATCTAAGATGGACTGACTGTTTAACATTCTGTTTTGGAATCCTTCCTGGTATTGACATCAAGCTGACTGGTGTGTAGTTGCCTGGATCACTTGTTGCTAATTGCTTGGATTGCTTTTTTGGCTTCTTGAAGGTGGGGGCAACATCTGCCCACCTCCTAGTCTTCTGGGATCTCTCTTGTTCTTCAGTAATTTTAAAAGATTATTGACAGTGGCTTTGAGATTACATCTGCCAGTTGTCTGAGTACTCTTGGATGCAGTTCATCTGGCCCTAGATACTTGGAATTCAAGAGGGCCATTTCCTCCCAACCCTTCCAAACTGGTTGCCCTAGTGCAGTGGGACTAGGATTTAACTCTGATTATTTTAACTCAGTAACCACAGACCTGCTATCCGCAGATACAAGCAACCGCAGATGACAAGCCTGTGTTGTCCCCAGTAACAGCATATGCATATGGCCACACTGCCATTGGGGATAGTGGAGGCTTACCTGAAATCCCATTGTCCTTAATGGTGCCATGGCTGCATGCATGCACTGTCATTGGGGACAATGGGGGCAGTCCCTAATGGTGGCACAACTATATGCATGCACCGCTATTGGGGACAATGGGACTTGAGCATTTGTGGATTTTGGCATCTGCAGTGTGTGTGTATGTGTGTCCGAAACGGTCCCACTGTAATAGTAATCTGTATAT